TTCTATATAATCATTACTATAACTACTTACAATAATAGAGTGAACTCCTAATTATGATTCACGCTTAATGAGGGAAGTGAATAGAGAGAAAAAGGGCCATAGAAAACAATGGAAGCGATCGCCATGCAAGCCCTCGAAGGAAATGTCTTTCTGGTGTCCGATTTTGCAAAAAATATTGTATTGGTACCCCTTAATCGTATACTCAGTGTCTGTGCTCTGAATATTGATTAGATATGCATACACTACCGTAACTCTACTTTGATTAGATATTATGAGTGCCCCCTCGTATTATATGCTCATCTTCGAACGCTGGTTTCATTGAGAAAGACTTACGAGCAACTGAAAACTGATAGGTTCGCCCCGCACACTAACACCTTGCGCGTGCACATGACCTAATCTGTAAGGGAAGGGGTTCAAAATTTTTGGTGCGCAAGTCTCAGCACTGCAGCACAGCACGCCTCAAATATTTGACCTTTTGTTAATCTCTATCCTTTTTTTTCGAGTCCGGTGCGTCGGAAGTTTGTTACGAATCATGTTTTTGTTTTTAATCTGCGCACCGGCAAGGTATCACATGTATAATCTCCGCCTTTTTGGTGGTATCCATCCAGTTTTCTCCCTATCCTGGGCCTCCTTGGAACAGATTTTCCAATCTTCAGCAAGCACCAAATGTACTACCTTCTTTGTTTACAGGAGTATAGGATTATAAAACCTTCATGGAACCTTTACGGAATGGTATGAATCAGCGTTGTTGACAGCTACCATTCTTTTTTATTTTCGTAGAGACTGAAAGGCTGTCAAAGCTTCGATCTGGTGGGAATGCCATAGACATTGACTTTTGACTATTGCTCAAAGGTGCCTAACCAAATGTAAAGAGGGCGCTTCGGCTCCGACGACAACTCACAGTAAAAAAAACCCAATGTCCACGTTTTTAATGACTGGAGCAAGGTCATGCTCTTCAAAAATACCGTGAAAAAGAAAATGTCGACAAACAGATCGAATAGCTCGGTTGCATGGCGTTTGTCAAGCAATGTTCGTACAGAAAGTACTCTGTTTTCTATCAATCCAATGAATGCATTGAAATGGGCACCTCTGTCCCTATTAAGTGAGGTTGTCGAGGTTGACGGAGTGCTTTTTCGGCAGATATTCTACATGAGACAAGGAATGAACGGCGATAACTGACGACAGAATTCTACTTCTGACAAAGAGTGAATTGCTCGGTGGAGCCGAAAGTTATCATGAAGATATTAGCTATTAGGCAAGTCGCATTTAAAACAAAACTGTTCTTCCTTTGAAATTATCAAGTTCATAACGAGAGAAGTGCGTCCTGTATAGTGCCATGAAGCCATGATATCCAGAAGTTGACCTATTTGGGAGATGCTGCTTGACTTACGCACCAACCATTAGGCTTCAGTTGAACAATAATTCGTGAAATTAAGAGAAATCTGGTAGGGAGCTATACGGAAGTCGCCCCGTCCCACGCTATCCCAAGCACTAGGCCTCTAAATGAAGTTAAACCTACCTCCTAACAAACCTAATTAACTCGGAGCTATGGCAATAAACTCAGTCCTACTCTTGCCATAGTAACAACGCTTGTACATTTGCTGTATGGATATTTTTTCGAGTATCAACCCCCCCCCCCCCCCCCCCCCCCCCCCCCCCCCCCCCCCCCCCCCCCCCCCCCCCCCCCCCCCCCCCCCCCCCCCCCCCCCCCCCCCCCCCCCCACCTCTTTCCACGAGACTGTTCGAATAATTATCCAAGAATTAATAGGTATAGGTATGCTCTATTACATCAACTATGTATTAGGTTGTCCCACAATTAGTGGATCACTTTACATTTATTGTTATTAAAAATCCAAGAAAAATGGTGAAATGATGTTTTGCGAAGTAGCATCCACATTATCCTACCTGAGCGATTACTCAGCCCATTTACATGCTGCCTTCCGTGGCTGATATTTCAATTTTTCTGAACCTATTTTTGAGCTCCCTTCTTAATCACTTCTGATTAGGATCTTTCAAACGCCCAACAACATAGAGAATCGACCAGCAGATAGGCAAGGGGGCTCCCTCAATCCACGGTCTGCTTGTAGTTCACTCTATCGAGAGGTTGGCTTTTTTAGTTGAAGATGACCCACACTCCAACTACCCCTCAACTGGCAATCTCACTGCTGTACCCAGCGCCACTGAGGGTGGATCTGGACAAACTAGTCGCCATTTGCTAGAGCATGTCCGACTTGTTAAAATGATGGAATGTAGACATCTACGTAGAGTTGTAAAGATTTTAAAATATTTAGTTTGTATCTTGTATGCTCTGAGCCCGAAACAGCTCCACACACGATCTGACATCATCATGTTCCTTCTGATCTCCCTTAGTTCCTTACAGTGATCATCCAGCATATTCACCAGGGTTCTGGACTGGGTGGAGTGTACTAGCAAATCTCCAAAAGCAGTAGCCTAGCATGAACGATTCGGGAGTTCTGACAGCAAAAGCCGAACCTCCTTCGAGTCCGACCCTTCCGAGATATTGGAGGAGCACGAGAGTGACCATGCGCTGGGAAGCGCCGCCCACTAGTTGGCGACGCGTTCAATTTGAAAGTAAAGCAAGACAAAGTCTGCTTTTTTCCTGAGGTCGTTCGACCCCACCTTGCGGAGAATATTCATAAAAAATTGGAGACTCTCAGGCTAGCAGTTCTTTCACTTCCTCTGTGTGGCCCTATCCTCGTGCCAACAAAAGGCAACTCAGTCTGACCTCTAGCGCTCTTCCCCAGGAAGAAATTTTACGCTAAGTGACATGACCTCAAACTCGACTTCCGATCTTTCTTCGATCAATAGCTCCTGGAATTCTAGAGATAAGACAGCGACTAAATTTCCTTGTATAGGCAATACATTGTAGATGACAGAGGTGTATGTTTGGATGAGCAAAGACTCCACATAAAAAAGAAAAAAATTGAATTCAAAAATACCCAAAGTGATTCACTAATTATGGGACAACCTAATATTATCGCATGCATTACATGTTTTGCACATTTTGCTGTCGCCAGTTTAGACATAGTCAGATGACGGAATCGTGTGCACATATGTGAGTTTCTGCAAGATCAACAGTGAAGAATGGAACCTACGATTTCAAGAATATAGAGGCATTCACCTCTGTGATGTCATGTAATTGAGTGTGGCAAGGAAACCACTGTCGTGACCAGCGCGGCATTTTTTCTGCTTTGGTCGTCGGGTTTCCGAAATCGCGTGGTGAAATCTGCGGTAATGACGTAAATAACTAAATGTTCTGTCGCTAAAATGCTACAGACAGCCGAAAAATCAGTCAAAGACAAGTTTGCGTCTCTTTCCATCTCCAATCAGCAGTAAACTCTCGGGTAATAAGTATGGAGAGGACATATTATCAGACTTCAATTAGCGCCATCTACGCAAGTTCTCGTTAACGATGAAAAAGTTCCTGACTACACTTCAGACACAAGACATCAGCTCCATGGTAATGTCCGATGCCCCGCTAATATAACACAACGACATTGTGTTATATTAGCGGGGCATCGGACATTACCATGGAGCTGATGTACCCGATTTGCACTTTTATGTAACCACGAGAATAGAAGTGATGGCTACATTAAACAATTATAGATTTATACTAAGCTACTACTCACTACTAGAATTATATTAAGCAGAATACTCCTCATTGTTTTCCCTGACAAGTACCTACCATGATGGAATACAATCCTCAGTGGTGTTTGAGACCGTAGTTGGGCTTGTTATGAGAGGATGAGATTTGAAGACAAACAGCAGGCCCTATGGGACAACTGTGGTAGACATCCACTGGGAAGGGGCTTGGCAATTTTTTTAACGAAAAAGTGGCCCTCCTATTTACTGAATGAAACAAGAGTCACTTCCAGCCTCGTTCAAAACAAGATTAATTACCTTTTGCTTGACTCGAACCGAATTTTTCAACCTGCAATTTTTTTGATGGAAGTGGAGTTCGAGGACCGCACTATACTCCATCAAAAAAATTGCATAAGAGCGTTCCAACCGATGACATCCGAAATTTTTTCTAGGGAACATAGTGCACGATTTACGGCCGACGGATTCTTGTACCATTACGACGTTATCTGAAACGCTGCACAATAAGGGGTCTTGCACAATCACAGCTAGTGTCTCTAGGAAGCTATTCACCAGTTAATCGATTGAAGAAATTATGTAGCAGCTTCAGGCCGGAGCGATTACGGTAAGCCTCGTTGAGCTCGACGGTGATGGCAGATGACGTCATATTCTAAAGACGTGAGGGCAGTAGAAGGAGGACCTGATTCTGCTAACTAGGAAACACCTAAAAAGTATATGCCGTAAAAGTTCTTTCAACGGTGTCATCCTCTGCGAAGAAAAGTCTGACGGTGTGCGCTATGGGCGACGTGACCTTTTTTGACCCCACGTATATTGAGCACGAATGTTCGAAATACGAAAAACAGATTAAACTCTTTGTAATTTTGATTGGATGGTGTGTCAAGGGGTGTGGTTGTGAGCACAGTTGTCGAAATGCTTCCGGGAAAACATGTTTGGGATGGCAAACATCACATTTCACGCGGCCCGTTCAAAACACCACATTTTCCTCATTAATCAGTCGGTTTCCGTTCAAATGTCATTTACTTGTGTTATCTACCATATACTCGGCTGATGTGGCAGAATTAATCATAAACCACAAAATAAATTACAGTGGAAACTCGCTAATCGTTGATGCAGCTGGAAAAGTAGTTTTCAAGAAAACTTTTCACTGCCTATGTTAGGCCCAGGGTCAACCCTACGTTGTTACGAATAACGACGATGGGGTCGTACTCTCTCGGTGGCCGGCAGTGGGATTCTTGGTGATATACTGATCATGGATAGTGGTACGATGGGGAGGAGCAAACGCAGCAAGAAAGTGTATATGCAAATAGTTATGATTCACAACTATTTACACTTACTATTTACATTTATATTATTCATTTTCTTATTTACTATAGACGCAGTCATGAAGAGGAAGACATGCAGCATCGTCTGAAAAAAGTGCTCGCACCATGACATGGATAAAGCCACGAAACCACATATGAAACTATTGCCTGTGGAAACATGGATAATAGCCAGCACGTTACGTTTGCGCAAGATGACTGATACTAGAGCATCTATACACGCTTCCCTCTGAATGAGCTTTCAAATGAATCAGCGAATTAGAAGGGCGCCCGAGGCGTGGCGCGCACCAAGGCAAGGGATGTAGCGCAAGCTGCTCTAGCACATCCTAAGTTAAACATGAAAATTGGTCTTCCAAGAAGTTACGGGCAGTGAAACCTAAGAAAACCCCGCGTTTTCGAGAAAATGGCTTGAAATACCCCTCAAAAAAAGTAACAACGGACTAAATTTTTGAACTGCTGACCTTTTCAAGGAAACGTTTCGTGCTTTAGACGAGCTCGAATCCTGTAGTTTGTCATACCGTGTTCAGCTTCCCGAATGAATGAATTTGAACAAGGTTATGATCGTTTGAAGGTAAAAAAGTCGCGGTTCCAGAAAAAATAGTAACGCAAACCCTCCAAAAAAGCAACAACAGGACTAATTTTTGAACTGCTAAGCTTTCAGAAACGCTTGGGTGCTCCGTTAGAAAGCTTGAATCCTGTAGTTTGTCAATAGCGTGTTTAGCTTCTCAAATGATTGACTTGAACAAAGTTCAAAAAAAAGTCAAAAAGTCGCACTTGCACAGAAAAAAGTAACAACGTACTAAATTTTTATTAAATTAACTTTCGAAGAATTTTTACCCATGGTTGGAGAGAGAATAATTTGAATTTTCCAAATCAAATCACTTCGGCGCAGAAGCTCGAATATGAAGGAAGTTATAGCCCTAGAAAGAGGAGTGTAAAAATTGTGTTGCAATTTTATTTTTTGCCTAATAACTTATTCATTCCGAAGTGTTTGAGAACAAATGAGCACTCGTTAGGAAGGAGGAGCCACGTCGATCCAAAATCCACCTAAATCTTCCGAACTACCTGAAATGTAAAAAAGAAAAACTCCTCGAATTTTCACATTCCCCGTTCGACGCCTCTTCACCGTGAGCAAATGCGCTCCACCGTCAGGAGGTCAAAGGGCGCCATTCAGCACATCGAACGCAACACATTCGAAAGCACATTTACTTTCGTCTTTTTCGTATTGATTTTTTCCCGGTTTTCAATACATGGAGGTCTCCTCAATTGGTTCGATGTTCTTGACACGGTGGTGGTTCAAGAAGAGAAGGTGTTACAAGTGTTACATACATTTTCACTTACATTGTTACATACATTTTCAAGTGTTACATACAAGGGGGGGGGGTCGTATCAAATCACCCATGAAGGGGGGGGTCGTAAAAAATTTCCAAAGAGTAACAACGATAGGGTTGACCCTGGTTAGGCCTCTTTTGGAATACTATACGCCAATACGGTCTTCATCAACTAGATTCTTGCAGGCCAAATTGAAAGCGTAAGAATCAATTTCACAGAGAAAGTATTTGCGTAGTCTTATTCCATGTGTGGAGATCGCATGAATTACCTTGATGGTTCCTTATTCTAGTCCACTAGAATATGCAACTGTAGTTATAACCCCTACAGAATGAAAAATTGTAGAAGCTTTGAAAAAATTTCGAAAAACTTCACTAGAAAGCTTTTCATGAGACTGTCGGGTTCAGGTATGGCATCATACCGAACAGTGATGTAGGTAATGTAAACCTCGCTTTTGAGGCAGTTGTGCTTACAATTAGCAGGATACATTTTGATTTTTGACGTTTCTTGAGATATTTCATTTTTAAACTGGTTTCAAGCTCCCATCAGCTTACCTGCCTTCAGAATGTCAAATCTCCTATTGAGAGTGCTTTAAATAAGGTGGTTCCTCCTAGAGCAAAATATAATGTCTGGCTGCTTTTCTTCGTTAATAGACCTTTCTGGAGTTTGAGAGACTGTTCAGACAAGGAGTATCCACAGCAAGTTTAGTTCACTTGAAGCCGCTCCGGACAAACATCTTGTATCATTGTTCCTTTCTTCTTGCTTATACTCTCTATTGCCTGATCTGGTTTACTGCACCTAATGTTTGTTTAAATTCTGTTCCATCATGAAAAGATCGTTTTTTTTGTTCTTTTTTTATCATTCAACTCATAAGATTCCTGTGTAATAAACAAATACATATACGAATCCAGCGAAAACTGTGCATGTCTCTTGCAATGACCGCTGAATTATCAGTGAAATCACACTCTTCCAAAGGCCCGCGCACGTGATGGGTACAGCCGTGCAATTGCCATATCTCGTTGCCGCTCTTGTAGTTGAACTTTGAATCGTCATAAGCTACTTGGGAGTAATGGCATTGAACGCAGTTTTCTTCTGCCACAGTAACGATGGCGTGCACAGCAATTTTCGAAATTTTTCATGGAATGCAATCAGAATGAGCCTAAATTGATAATTCATGCCGTAAATTCGTTTGAGAGAGTTAAGCACTTCAGAACTTACCCATCCACAGCATGTACGAGTTCCCATGCAAGTGTAACTGAAGCAAACTTAGACCATTTCGTTGTCGCCATTGTAGAAAAGAGATGGAAGGACAAAGCAGTCAGCGCAAAACATCCGGCTTGCACACAACCCTGAATCGTATTGTCCAATCCACGTAGATTAAAGATAAGGACAAGCATCTAAAGTGAAAAAGCAAATGCAAAAAGCGCTGTCATATTCCTGACCACACACGGCGGGCGCATGCGATAATTAGAAGATTTTACGGTATTTTATTTATTTTTATTTCTATTGTATTTTCACGAAACGATATCTTTTTTTCAAATTTCCTACGTATGCCAGGACGTCATACTAAGTGAATAGGGACAGCTCTGTCGGATCATGTGTGAAGGCGTCAAAAGGATATCTCCAGGAATCGTGGTCATATTCGGTCACGGAGCGGCAGCGTTCACACTTGCAGCGTACTACCACGAGGCACTAACTCGGCTTACTCTACTTTGAACGTTTTTACTTCATCTGCTCACAACGTGTGTTAACTCGTCTTAACTGAGCGTCCACTTGCTGAGCAAGGAACACCATTCAACAAACAAATTTCCAGCTATTGATAGTCTTGTGGTCCAACATTCAGTTGAGTATCTCTAATGCAAGGATGAAATGAGGGTTCCACGATAGGGACGAAAGTCAAAGAAAGGAAAACTTACCTAGTGGAGAGGCGGACCTCTTAAAGGTGCGAACCAACATGCAGTTCGCATGGAAGGATATGCCCTCGGCGATCTAACACAGTCCTTCTCGTGACCCACTTGGCTCGCTATTCGTTCGGTGCACCCCCCCCCCTCGCGACGTCTTGTGTCTGAGTCTCTAGCCATTCAGCATAGATTGCGTTAACGTTGAAGAGGGTGGTACCGATGAGAGTCGCATTTATGCGGCAATCAACTAACAAGGAAGGGGTCATATACTTTTCTTTCCTGGTCTAGGCCATTCCTCTTTTTTCTTGTTCTTTCGTGCATCACTGACCATCTCCAACGTTATTTCCAGTGAACTTCCTTTTCATCGTAAAATTCGTCTTCAAGCAAACGAAGCTACAAGTGACTCATCTTCAAACAAACCAACCGTTCAGAAAGAGGAAATAGACTTTTCTAGGGTCCTGTGATGGAAGAATCTCAGGGAGTGATATAAATGGGAATGTGCCTTGTAGTGAATGCTGTTCCGACGAAAAAGTGAGGGAAGAGCGGGAAAAACGTAATCTCCACGCGAAATCAAATGGATCCCTGCGAGAAGAGTGCGCATTGGGACTGTCTTCATTTTCCAAGCATCTTTTCACTGCTGTGTTTTGTTTTCATTTTCACTTTACATTGTTTCGTACATTAATATAAATAGAGAAGCGTTTCAGAGATACGCTGTTGGAGTACATAGCTGTTTTTTTTCATTCTTTTGATTTATGCCGCTAGATGTTTTAGCTACTATTATCACAACAAGTTGTAAGCAGTTCCTAATCATATTAACTAGTTATGTCTTCTCCTCCGACTACTTTCACTTTTCTCTGCTCCATGACAAATAGTGAACGGTTTATGCTTCCCAGCAGTTCTTTCTTTATTCCTAGCTTACAAGTGAGGTCTAGGTCACCAGTCGAACAGGGAGAAACTTCAGTAGGTCGGTAAAAGCCTACCGTGTACTTGAGCATCAGACAGAATGTGTTGTGCAAACGAAATGCATACTTACTCTGAACTTAATGCCACTAATTATTACGCAACATCACATAACACCTCTTGGCTAGAGAAAGATGTTTTTTATCATTAGAGGCGTTTGACGATGCAGTGCAGTTACAAATATTTGGACAACAGACATTTTAAAAGATACCAAGTCGGATGTAGAATGTTCCAATGTACGTAAACGTTAGAAGAGGTTGAAGGTGCCTCCTGGAGGTAGTATCCCTCACAAGGTGGATTTAATTTTACAGCGTTTGCGCAGTAATCTACAGGGGGATCTTCCTGGTCTCAATCATTTCTGCCTTTCACATCACAATTTCTTTGCTCTGCTTGAGAGAAGCCAAAGCTTTGGGAACTTTGAACGTGGACTTTTTTGAACCACTCAGCTTCCTTTTGGAGCCATCGTCAGATCTGGTTGGGATTTCGTAGATATTTACGTATCGGTTCTTCAACCAGCGCGCAGCTTAGTCGCAGCAGGACATGTCATCAAAAAGGGCGTTCACGTGCGGTGTGTCGCTACGATTACACACGGATACACTCAACCATCTTCATATGTCAACACAACAAAGAGGAGTTCACCTATAATTGCATGCTTCACATTGTCCCATAATCAGGGGACCCACGCAGCAACATTCTCCTCTCCATGTCCTTAGGACTGAGCGTGGGGAGGACTAGGAGTGGGAGTGTGTAAGCAATTTCAATTTTCATTAAGGTTGCTACCCTCCTAGGCTAAGTTCGCACAATCAGCCTGACTGACTGACTCTGACTCTGTTATAGCATAATACTATCGACAACATTGACGATGACAATGGCCAACTGTTCCTTTTTCTATTTACCAAAGTTTCCCGGTTTTTGTGAAAGGTGATGCTCGTTGACGAAGATTCGCAATGGCGCTCGGAGCTCCCAAGTCGTTGGCGTAAATCGTGTGGGTGTGCACTTTATTTACACAGCACATTTTATTTGACGTCCAGAGATATGATAGGGGTTTGCCGACGTACTGAAGTTACATTCTTGTTCAAAGGCAGGCTATATTCGCGCAAAGGCTTGCCCTAAATCCTTCACGAAAGGACGCTGTCCTTTCTAATTTCTCAAATGTTGTTCAAATTTTGGTGCTAGGAGCTGCATACAAGCAATCAGAATGATCAGCGGTCGAGGAAATCTTCGACCATGCCTCTGTACTGTGTGAGAGTAGTGCCGAGAGTGAATGTACGCGCGGAGAGCACAGACGGCTCGCGCGTGGCGAGAGTGAATGTCCGCGCGGGAGCGTGTCTGGACATACGAAAATCCTTGATAAGTCGTTCACGAATCATCCACCAGTTTTCACCCAGCAGGCAACTGCGGGTGAGGGGGATGAGATTTGTGGGGAAGGCAAGAGTCCAGCCTAAGATAACATTCCTAACCCCTAATTCACAGCCCTCGAGGTTCCTCATCCTTCCAATCAACCTCGAATCCTCTTCCCTCAGCCCTTTTTTCTTCGCATCATTTTCACACCTAGCGATAAGAAAAAAGTCTCTATTTTAGATTTTAGGGAGGAGGGATTTAGATTTTCTGTCATGGTATTGGATTATTTCTACCAAAACGGCCTGTTTGATGACCCTAATCGTAACAGGTGATCATTGTACTATGCAAATATCCACAATAATATAATAAAAATCTATTGCAGATGGAACCATGAAGGTAGGAATGAGGATTTCGATCAACTGGTCAGTGCAAGTCATGACGAAAGGTTGTAGACACTGGAGAAATTGCTGATAGCGATAGCAAAGGCGGATCAAATTCAAACGAATCAGGCTGACTGTCAGGATTTTATGGCTTTATTTATTGAGAGGCCATGGGTTCTGGGTTCTGGGAGATAGAGTGACCCGGGTTTTGCATCCTCTATAAAGTATGCAGCCAAGGATGACCAGAAGGCAGCTGCGTGTGTGCACAGCTTAATTAAAGGACGAATTCACGATGAAAAAGCAACCCATTTCAAATTAACCTAGGGATGGTGAGTGGTACACGAAAGAAGGAAGAACCATGAGAAACGGCCCAGAACCCGAGAAATGGGACCCCTTCCTTGCCCGTTGATTTGAGCATTGATGCGACTCTCATCGCTGTGCCCTCTTCAACACTACGCTCTCTCAGCTATCTAATCACTCGCCACGTATTGAACTACGGCGAGTGATCAGATGATCGGTGGGCGGAGATCGCCGGACCCGCCAGCTTTGAGGCATGATAGGTCGCCGAGGTCAAATTTTTCCATGCGAATTGCGCGTCAGTTCGCACCCTCAGGAGGTCCGTGGGTCCCTCAACTAGGTCAGTTTCCCTTTCTTCGACCTTCATTCTAATCGTGAATTCCTCCTTTAAGCTCGTCCCGGATTACAGCAGTTATCCTGGATTCGATGGCAATGTACCTCGAATACGGACGTCTTTTGTGGCTGGCATTTCCACTTCGACAGCATTAGCTACTACGTTGTGGAGCAGAAAACACATTACGTAGGGACACTAAAAGAGAACTTTTTCGAAAGCTGCGAGGATCATAGCAGAAAAAACTTAACAAAGGTGATTGAGGCCTCACCAGACAAATAAATAAATAATAAATAAATGAAAGTATTGAAATGGGATACAAAAAAGAACTGTTCACGCTGCTGTCGCAATTGAAAAGCGAGGCGAACAGCATGATTAAAGTAGGACCAGATTCACACATTCACGACTTTTCATACAAAACGGTTCCTTATAGGCTTTGCATGAATAGGAAAAGCAATTGACGGCATGTTTTTTTATTCACCCATGCAAACTTCTGCTGTCAACACTTGCCACCTTTTTCGGGAGCAATTACAGATTTCATTTGGGGAAATTCACGGTCAGAATCGTCGTACCTATTGTGGAAGGGCGCCAAGTACAATACAATACATGCCTACCAAAAGTATGTGGACACCCTAAAATTTTCCATTCCCTTAAAACTGTTGACTTCTGCACCATGCGACCACCACCATTCAATTTCTCGTATGCGAAAACCTTAGAATTTCTCATTTCTCACCAATTTACATGCAGCTTTAATTTTTTTTAATTGATGGAAAAACCTTGTGTCACTGTACCCCTGTATCAAAAGTAAAAGTGGGACACTTTTAAAAACGGCAATATCTTCAGAATCTGAAATCGGTAGGCCTACCAAAGCTTCTAGTAAGTTGAGCCATTCTGTTTGGCATGCTATGAACCGGCTCTGGATACATGTCTTGCAGATCTGTTCCCAACTAGCAAATTTCACCGACGTGTTAGGTCACTTGTGATATTACTCTTTTGTTCAATGACGTAGAGACCGCGAACCACGATACCTCTACGTTTTCGATAAGGATGGATCAAGTCTGAGGAATACGCTAGCCGAC